GCTTGGAGAATTTTGAGCATTACTTTGCTAGTGTGTAAGATGAGTGCAGTTGTGCAGTAGTTTGAACATTCTTTGGCATTGCCTTTCTTTGGGATTGGAATGAAAACTGACCTTTTCCAGTCCTGTGGACACTGCTGAGTTCTCCAAATTTGCTGGCATATTGAGCGCAGCACTTTCACAGCATCATCTTTTAGGATTTGAAATAGCTCAACTGGAATTCCATCACCTCCATTAGCTTTGTTCGTAGTGATGCTTCCTGAGGCCCACTTGACTTTGCATTTCAGGATGTCTGGCTCTAGGTGAGTTATCACACCATCGTGGTTATCTGGGTCATGAAGACCTTTTTTGTATAGTTCTTCTGTGTATTCTTGCCACCTCTTCTTAATATCATCTGCTTCTGTTAGGTCTACACCATTTCTGTCCTTTATTGTGCCCATTTTTGCACGAAATAGCCCTTTGGTACCTCTAATTTTCTTGAAGAGATCTCTGGTCTTTCCCTTTCTATTGTTTTCCTCTATTTCTTTGCATTGATTGATGAGGAAGGCTTTCTTATTTCTCCTTGCTATTCTTTGGAACTCTGCATTCAAATGGGTATATATTTCCTTTTCTCCTTTGTCTTTAGCTTCTCTTCTTTTCTCAGCTATTTGTAAGGCCTCCTTAGGCAACCATTTGTAAGGCCTCCTCAGACACCAAAAAGAGATACCCCATGTCAAAGGGCAAAGGATAAGCCCCAGCAAGATGGTAGGAGGGGCAAAATCACATTTAGAATCAAACCCCATACCTGCCAGAAACACTCGGAGGGCTCAAACAAAACCTTGTGCTCACCAGAAGACCCCACAGAGACTGAGCCAGACCTGCCTTTGAGTGTTTGAGTGTCTCCTGCAGAGGTATGGGTCAGCAGTGGCCTGCTGCAGGGGCAGGGGCTCTGGGTGTAGCAGACCTGGGTATGGCTAAGCCCCCTTGGAGGAGGCTGCCATTAACCCCACCATACAGCTGCCAGAACTTACACAGGACTGCAGAAACAGACTCTTAGAGGGCACAAACAAAACCTTGTGCACACCAGGACCCAGGAGAAGGGAGCAGTAAGTCCACAAGAGACAGATCCAGACTTACCTGTGAGTGTTTTAACCTACTGTGAGTTCACTCATAGAGTCACTGGACTGGATGAATGAATAGAAAATAATGATTTATAATTATAGTTATGGACCACAGAATCTAAACTACATAAGAAAGGAAGTAAAGACACTAAAGACACTTCATTAACAGTGAAGAGGTCAACGGGGTGGGGGTAACTTGAATGAGGAAGTCAGAGGGATGGCAGGGGGAAGGGTCGGAGGGATAAGTCTTAGTGCATGAGATGCCTGAAATCAAGTTTAGAAAATGATACATCATTGGTAATGAGAACACCGAGATGACCACAATCTGAGACAGGGTGCAGGAAAAGACCAACAGAAACAGAAATGAGGGAGGTCAAGGAATGCAGAACGTGTATTTCACTCAGAGAGTGTCAAAACACAATGACACAAATGAGCAGCAGTACAGAAAATACGAAAATTTTTTTAAAAATGCATGTAGAGAGAACTATCTTAGACATTATTCTCAAAAGGAAACAATAATACTGTCTTACTCTTTGAGATGTTTCTGCTGCTGCAGCTGCCATCGCAGCAGCTTTGGCCTTCTCGGCTTCATCGTACGTGGGAAGAGAGGTAGCAACACTGTAAGGAGGCGGCACGGGATAAAACTCACTGTAAACTTCTGTATCTGAAGGAAAGGGTTCAAAAAAAAAGGTAACTATTAAAACAAACTAATGACATTTTTATAGCCATAATACAATTTAACAAGTTACAGAATGCCACTGAGGATGATCACTGCTATCTGTAGTCCTACGTTATAAGTTGTATAACATATAAATTATTACTACGTCATATTCTTGGAGTCCTGTATTTATTGAGAAAAGACTGATAAATATCATCCAGAGACTGATGCACAAAACAAGAGCACCAAGGAGACTCTGAAAATGTGTGCAACACAAATGAGGTAAGAAAGTCACCATATGTGAACACGCTCTGTGTGCCCACTTGCTGTGCTCAGAGAATTTATCTGCCCATAATCTCACAGTCAAAAAAAGAAAATAGCAGGAATAATAGTTAAAAAAAGAAAAAAAACAACATTGAAATAGCACTAGCCACCTCCTATACCACTTCTAAATACATTAACCTCAGCAACTCTGAGGTTCAGAAAACTTAGGTGATTTGCCCAGGGTCACATAATCAAGAAGTGGCAGAACCCAGGAATTTCTGGACCCCAAAGACTCTGTTCCGCTAATATATGACATTAATTTTTCTACATGGGTCAATTCTAGCAACTCCTAAGCAAACTCAGTATTTCTCTTTGTTAAAAGATTGATGCTTTTTAACTCTTTTTCACTCTTATCCCTTCTCGCATTTTCCCTGCATCTACCTAGCTCTTTAGGTTTTCTTTTTTTGGAAGAGTTCTCCCTCCCCAATTTTTAAGTTATTTTTGAAATATGATCTCCAGAAGTACATTACAATAAAATATTTTTTTTAAAGCTTCAACATTTATTGCCAACTTTCGTATAAGTAAAATCATACACATAGGTCAATCAGTCGACTAAGATGTGCTGGAATTACTGACATAAATAACACGTAGATTCTAAAAGTAGTACATACCACAGTGTTTTACACTACTTCTGTGATTTCCTCTATTATAATGACAGCATTTTCACACTTTCTACATTGTTCATAACTTACCTATCTTTATCAGACTTTCTTGCATTTTCAACATGAAAACAAACTACACTCCAGCAAAAATTTTCCTATTGCATTTTAATGTCTATAGGTTTCAAAAATAAGTATTTATAATGATATCAGTAAGAGCTAAGGGTCTGGAGTTAGGCAATTTTTAACTTAATAACAAGCGGTGAACAGCAGTGTAATACTTAATGTTATCCAACAAAAGGCACAAGAGTCACAAATTCTTAGAAAAGACTTATTATTAGGATGTAAAAACACCGCACACAGTCAAGTAAATAGATTTCTTTATTTCTGAAGATTAAAGTAGAAGCAGAATTTCAGTAGAAACAATGATTATGAAGTTTAAGGCAATAACATTAAAATTATGAACTTTTAAAACTGAAACAACGGTGGCTTCCCTGGTGGCCTAGTGGTTAGGAATCCACTTTGCTATAAAAAAAAAGAAAAAAAAGGAATCCACTTTGCTCTGCAGAGGACACAAGCTCAATCCCTGGTCCAGAAAGACCCGACATGCCTCGGGCCAACTAAGCCTGGGTACCACAACTCCTGAAGCCCCAGCACCCTAGGGCCTGATCTCTGCAATGAGAGGGGACATGACGACAAGGAGCCCACACCCCGCACTGAAGAGTGGCCCCTGCTCACTGCAACTAGAGAAAACCCCCATGCAGCAACGAAGATTCGGCACAGTCAAAAATAAGGTAAATAGATATTTATTTAAAAACCTGGAACACTGGCATATATTATCCAAGGTAATGAGATCCTTTACCTTAAAACTAGATATGTAACACTGTAAAGCAATTATTCTCCAATTAAAAAAAAATATGAAGTTTTTAAAAAGTTTTAACACCCAAGATAGAAAAAATACCTATGCCAGTAACAGGTAAAAGTTGGGAAGCATCATCTTTAATTTTCACTTGTCAATTTTACTTCTTTTTCTTCTCCCCTTTAAGGCAGAGGTTGGTTCTCAACCACAGAATGTGAAGTCTGGAGAGTTCCAATCCTAGCCCTCCTTCTTGGATGTTGCGTAACCTGAAGCACATCACTTAAGTCCTATGAGGTTCTCCTTTCTTATCTATGAAGCTGACCCAGCAACACTATTACTTGCTATTATGGGATAAAATAGAACAGTATTCAAGAGGACTCTGTAAAAAGTGAAGCATTATATACAAATGTCACCTTTTATAACTGATGTTACTCAGATCTATAAAAACAGTCATAAAGTAACCTACTGAAGAACATAACCTCCACAGAAAACAGGCACTGTCCACACCTAAAATATAACATTGACCAAAAAGCTAAAGAAAAATAGTATAATAGCTTTCATTAAGCAGAGACCCAAAATTCTAGGATTACTCAGTCCTTACTCTCAATTAGTCAGGCATGGCCTTTAAGTACAGGTGAAAAAATTTAAAAGACCAGGAATCACAAAGGAGATGGTGAAAATAACTGAAAATCTAAACTAGGCTTCACTGGTTTCACAGTTGAAATTCACCTAACCTTTAAAAATACCATGTTACATTATCAAAACTACTATACATCATAGAAAACTGAGAAGCTTCTCAATTCATTTTATGTTGTTTTCATAGAATTTTGCTTTCAACCTTGCTTTCCAAAAGTTTGCTTTTTCCAAACCAAAAAGACAGTACATAAAGTTACAGATCACCTGAAAAAAGCTGCAAAAACACTAAAATATTAATGGATTCAAATCCAGGAAAGACTGGAACATGGTGACAAAAAGTCCAAGAATATAGGGATGGATTAGCTTCAAGAAGAAATATGCTAGTAAAATAATTCATGACAACAAAAACTGAAGGAGAAAAACCACATGATTTTATAATAAGACCAAAAAGCTGACTCCCTGGTTTCTGGCCTGCTGGAGCCACTTACTGAAATTGGGAAGAATGTCAAAGCAGCAGGCCTGGTGGCAGAGGAAGAGGCTATACACAGCTGTGGCGGTTTTAAACCACAGTCTACTCTTTGAAACACTTCCCCTGAAGAGGTGGAGACTAATTCTTCAATAATCCTAAGAGAGACTAAACTGACTCACTTATAACAACCTGCACTGTGACTTTTGAAGCAATGTGACCAGTTCCATCTGGCATTCTCTCAGAACGCTTGTTCTTAGAAGCCAGCCTGCATTCAGAGAGGAGCCCAGGCCGCAAGAGGAGGCCACCAATAGCTGTTCCGGCCAACAGCCTCAGCTGAGGCCCCAGTTGAAGCCTGCCTCAGCCAGTAAATGTGTGAATACGGAAGCCTGCAACTGCCTCCATCAGACAACAAGCACAGGAGACCCTCATCATGGAGCCAAGTTCACCCTCCAAATTCTAAGAATTGATAATAATGCTTGTTATCATTATGGAGAACTTCATCATGGAGGGAGAACTTCATCATGGAGCCAAGTTCACCCTCCAAATTCTGAGAATTGATGATAATGATTGTTATCTTACTCCATCAGGTTTGAGGTAGTCTGTTAAACAAACAGTAGCCACCACAAAGGGACATTTAGCAAAGGGACTTTCACTCTCAGCATCGTCCATCACAGAATGATTAACTTAACATTACTGGAAAAATATAAATTGTGGCAGAGAAACAGATGAGGGTATTCTTGAGAACGACCTGAAAGGATGAGATGAACAGTAGCAAGCGGGAATCACTGCCTTGTATTCAAGAAATATTACCATGTGCAGGGGGGAGCACTATGTACACTCTTCACGTCCATTCCCATATGCTCACACATTCCCACTCACATTCATCATGAATAATACCTGGTTTTATGACTATACAAGTAAACACACACAGGTATGGGTATGTTTATACATGCACATCTGCGGGCATTATATGTGTGCGTGAATCTATAGGTAAGTATATTTCTTCCAAAAGTTACATAGGTTAGTCCACTGGAAATGGATTCTAGCAAGCGTAAGAAAGCTTGACAAGCTACATTTTTAAATTAATTTCTAAAACAGTGAGATACATAAGGCACAGAGCAGATTATTTTATAAACTATCTTTAGAAAAATTTGTTTTAAAAAATCATAAAACTAGAGAAGCCCATTAACAGACTTGATAATTATACAAAACCATACTGGTAAAAAAAAAAAAATTGAGTTCTTAAAAACATTACTAGTAGTTCCATACTAAGAGCAACAATACCTGAAGTTGTAGGTACTTCCACGGTAATACTACTGTAAGGGGGAGGAGAAGAGTCAGTCTCATGTCCAGATGCTGAAGGAGCGGCCTGCACGGTGTGTGGTGTTGGGTTTGAAGTAGATGGCTGCTCTACACCAGATGATTCTGAATTATCCTCTTCATTGTGAAGCTGAGATAACAAAGGAAAATGAAAATATTAATGTGAATCACATTTTTTTTAAAGATTATTTCAGGCAAAGAATCATTTTCCCTTTTTTTTTTTAAGCTAAAAACAAGCTAAAATAGCATTTAAAAAGTTGAATAAAATTTTTGAGGGACAGAATCAGTCATTAAGTTTAGAATTTTTATAATTTATAATAAGAATAAAGTTCAAATTTTTAGGAATTTATAGAGAAAAGAGGTAATGATAACAGATTCAAGTTCACTCAATCCTGCAATACATATTGTCTACCACGTATTAATCACTGTGTACAGCAAAGAAAAGTAAAACTAATACAACCACAACACCATATCTATTATATTAGTATCTTATGTAAAATGAATTAATGAAATAGAGTTAACAATTTATAACCATTCTAATAATGTGGAATACTCCGAGGTTTTCCTAAGTACCAAAAGCAAAATTACTTATAAAGCAAAATAAGTCACTGTGCATATAAAACTCTGAAAAATGTTCATTACAACCAATTTATTGAAAGTTCAATAAACATTAGATAATATACTGAGATCTTTATGGTTTAACTCATTTAATCCTCACAACAAACAAGACACTGTTAAGACTATTATCCCCATTTCACAGGCTAAAAGAAAAAAGGAAAAAAAAAAACCAACAAACCAAAACAACCCTGGACATGTGGAGACTTAGAATAATTTGCCAAACATTACAATAAGTAGGAAGGCCAAGCCATGAATCAAATCCAAGCAATGCGGCTGCACACCTCCTACTTTTTAGTAAAAAAAAAAAAAGCTTGCCAAGAGAACAAGCCTGCACGCTGTGACATAATGCATTTTTCACTTTAGAACATGAAAATTACCCCCCCCCACTCTCCGTAAGCTTCACTAAGCTTACTCTCCCTGCACCTTAGCGACTCCACATGTGAATCCTAAATGAGACCAAAACCCTCACAGGACCGTAAAGTGATAATTGAAAACATCTACATAATGCCAAACACACAAGAGGCATTTAACAAACACTAGTTCTACCCTTCTTCTATTTAATATACTTTATTTTATAAACTCAAAAACAGAGATTATGCAGTGCTTCAGTCTAATAAGTAGTCACCAGAGAATTTTTTTAAATACGTGAAGTAAAACAGGAGGTCAATTTACTTCACTGTTGTTTGGATGTGTCTTGGGGTAAGAGATTACACTAGCAAAACACTTTTGTAAGTTCATAAATGTATTATAATTTTTAACAAAGCAAATCAACATAAAATCATCTCAAGAAGACAACTTTTTTCTTAACACTGTGGAAAAACGTTGCTTGTCATTCCAGCAAACAGTGAAGTCTGCCCACCATCAAGCTACCAACCAACACCGCCAACCACATTCACTGTACCCTGAGAGGAACTCAGGATAGTGAAAGAGAGGATATAGGCCCTAGGTAGCTAAAAAGCACATGTGAAGAATAATTTCAATAAGCCCAGACTTAAACATCTTCTGCACAAAGGGCTTCCCAGATGGCACAGTGGTAAAGAATCCACCTGCCAATGCAGGAGACACAGGAGGGACTGGTTCGATCCCTGGGTCAGGAAGACCCCCTGGAGGAAGAAACAGCAACCCACTCCAGTATTCCTGCCTGGAAAATCCCATGGACAGAAGAGCCTGGCAGGTTACACGTGCAATCATAAAGAGTCAGCCACAAATGAGCAACCAAACACATGTGCACACATAGAAAAGGACTAAAATCATTAACTTCAGACATCTGTTTGTGTGATTAACAGGATTCTTCTCATGTTCTACTACTGCCCTGGCCCTCCCCCAGAAAAAAACTCCTACGAATCCTGGCTTCTCCCTAACCTCTTAGGAACAGTTCCCCCAACCTACCTGAGAGGTTGTCTCCTGGGGTACAGTCCTCAGTAAGGTCCCCAAATAAAACGTAACTTGAAATTTTTAGGTTATATGTTTTTCTTCAGTCAACAGCCTCAAAATTTATGTAACAAAATTCACTCACAGAAAGTGAGTTCAAATAAGCACAAAGTCAACTCTGTATGAGCTTTTACATTTATTTACTCGCAGGGCTTTTCTAAGTAGGCACTAAATGAGCAACCTGTTGACTAGCAACACTCTGCTCTAGGGTCATAAAGCATATTATGTTTCCCATTACAAGGCACTCAGGAGAGCTCCCAATGCTTTCGGTCACCTTTGACCACATTTTCAAAGCAAAACTGTCAGATGAACAAGTCAAGTCAAACAAAGTACAGATATATACTTAGAAATAGCCTATATTTAGTAATTTAGCCTATATGAGTATATTTAGTACTTGTACAGATTAGTATTACTAAACAAATAATAGTGAAGTTCCAAAAAAAAAAAAAAGGAAAACCATTATTCCATATCTACTATTAATACTGCAAATGGAGATGAACTGTACTAAAAGGAAAACCCTACATGACAAACAGCTCTGCCCTAATTCCTCTCAGGAAATACCCCTAACACATCGAATATGCAAATATGCTCCCCAGAATGACCAACTCTCTTCTTCAACCTATCAAAACATATTCACATAACTACAATAAAAACAGTTACTACAGACACTTTTACATATGATCTCAGAAATAAAAGTTTTGGAACTTATACAAGATACCAATTAATTTCAACCGCCCTACTAACACCATCAGTTTCATTCTTACAAAATTATAGCATACAGTGAACAGTTGCTCTGTGTCAACAATAAAACCCAGTAATTCAGTCAACAGTCTCTCCCCACTGTGGCACAGAACTTCCAACTTACTTTAACTGTAACACTGTAATTTTTTATGTATCTTTGGTGTCTCCACAGATTAACCTACAATGTGATAAAACAAACTTATTTTTAAGGCAGGACAAGAAAAATTTTAGCATAAACATTTTTCTGCTGCTTTGAGTCACCATCCCTTCCCTTTTAGGGTGCACTGTGCACTCACTATTGACTAGACTAGATCTCCTTAGAAGATACAGGAATGCCTGCTCACCCCCCAAAAAGCAATCTCCATCTGGTGCCAGCAAGGTAACTCCTCAGGAGATAATACTGCCTTCTCAGGCCTATGAGGAGTCACACTGACCCCACTACTTACCTTGTTGGACTATGCAAAGTGTCAATATGTTGTTTGGTCACTAAGTCATGTCCGACTCTCTCAAGATCCCATGGACTGTAGCCTGCCAGGCTCCTCTGTCCATGTGATCTTCAGACAAGAATGCCAGAGTGGGTTGCCATTTCCTCCTCCTCCAGGGGATCTTCCCAACCCGGTTACTTTGATATATAACTTTTTGTCTCAAAAACTTACATATTTTTGCTTTTACTTCTAACATCAATCTGAAAGACTGTCTCCTGAGTTACAGTTCTCAGACTGGCTCAAAGAAGAATCTCCACTTCTTTCTCAGATGGACTACTGTTTAATTTTTTCAACACCTGCCTGCCTTTCCTCTAAATTCACACAAGGGTTAAAATTAAGTAATATGTTTATCAAATTACACTATGTCATTTGTAGAAAATTTTCCCTAATCATGCTGTTATGCTGTTAAATGATTCTATTTTACATTCTGTATCAACTTCCTAAACAGCAGAAAAAGAGGGGAAGAGTGGGATGGGACCCACATATATACAGTAATGACCAGGCTCTGTGTCACATCCATACATCACCTCAAAAGTTATCCTCCTAGCTTGTCCTATTTATTAGGCTCCTATATATATATATGGGCAATAACACATGAAAATTAAAGTATCTTTAACCCAGTGACCAAGGTGATGAAAAGCTGTACAGGAAAACACAATTTTTTAGTCTGAAGGATATATTTGTAGCTAGTTATTATACATGTATATTAAGTATTTTTAATGATGAGAAAAAGCATTATGATTAGCTAGCTGGAGGTCTAGCCTTCCTGTGTATAAACTACTGTTTCTTTAATTGGAATTGGCATGTCTCCTACACATATTCCTTCATTCTATCTTAAGGTGATAAAACATTAAGGTAATAACTGGAAAACCAGATTTTGAGAAGCTAGAGATCTCAGTGAACATCTCCTAAACATACTAAGGTAACCATTATAGATGTCCTATAAAATGTTGTTTAGTGAACTCTACCCAGTACCCCAGGGCCTGGTGGGTTAGTTAGCAGCCTGGTCTTTTCTTTTTTTTCCTCTCATTTCTTTTCTCTGGTCTGTTTCAATTTGGCCACAGAAACTGAATTACAGGGAAGAACTATAAGAGTGCAGGGCAGGGGGGCTGGGGGTTCTCTTTTTGTGTGTGTTTTTTTTTAATTTCTATAAAAAGCTAATACAATTTGTATACTACCACATACTGACTACATTTAGTACCAGAGGGCAAAAGCTGGAAAGAAGAGTTAGTAAGTGCAAGGAGACAAACTTTAGCTCAATTTAAAAATTTTTTAAATTTTTTATTTAGTACCTTTTAATTTTTACAGTACTTGCTTTTCTGTGGGGCAACAAATCCTTTTCAGGCAGATTTTGGATGACTATCTGGCAAGACTGTTGTATAACTAGGATGAACATACAGCTGTTTTCCCCAGGACACTTTATTTCTGTTGCACCAGGGACCCACTCATTTTAGACTTTTCTTCACCTCTTTCATTCTCAAAAAAATAGCACCGTCAGTCAACCAACATCTAATGGGATTCTTGTCCTTCATACAAAAGTAGGAGATGACAAGGGTTTCTTCTAACCCTAAGGGGAACAGGACTCCGGGGGAAAAAAAACTCCAGTAATCTCTGTCAGTCAATGTTGCCTTATCCAACACCTGCCTGAGAGGAGCAAACAGATAAGGTTACAATAAAATCAATCTGTAGCTGTAGAGTCAAGCTACGAGTTTAGTCACCCAAAAAGAAAGTAAGCTGCCTTATCTATACTCCGAGGGGTAAGGTAATAGCCGGTGCTAAGAAATTTCTGCAAACAGCCTAAGTGTTAAAACAAATAGCTCAAAAGACAGTCGCAAAAAACACTGCTGCTTAGCAA